GACTGTAAAACTGAGGAGGAAGGGAAATGCAGACCTCAGGTGTTTGGTTAAGCTGGGTCACCGTAGCAAATTCTTCCAGCCCTACCCCCTGCTTCCTGAGGGTTTTTGAAATGACTTTTCATGATGAAAACGGCATTCAGTGCTGCTCAGGGATGAAGTGCCTGGTCTGTCTGGGTGCTGGGGGACACTGTTTTCATGATGTTCCCCCCTTTTTCCTGTTCTCAGGATGGGAGCCTGCAGTGTCCCACCTGCAAAACCATCTATGGGGTGAAGACGGGGACACAGCCCCCAGGGAAGATGGAGTATCACATCATCCCTCACGCGCTGCCTGGCCACTCTGACTGCAAAACTATCCGCATCATCTACAACATTCCCCCAGGAGTGCAGGTGCGGCCTGGCCCTCTGCCCAGGGCATTACGTGGGTGGGGCTGGTGGCCCTTGTCACCACTGTCACCCCCAGGTCACGCTGCAGCCTTGACTGAGAGCTCCAGGTTCAACGATATCTCGGGAGCTGCGTGTCCGTAAGGACGTTGTGGGAAGTCTGGGGTACATGTGCATGAACGTGTTGGCCCCATCTGCGCTTGGTGGCAGGGGGGGGACAGTGGCATTTAGGGCCACCGTGCTGGAGCATGGCCCACCCACAGCAGCAAGCAGCTCTGCATCCACTGAGGTCGGGGCTCTTGTGCCCAGAGTGTCCTTCTGAGCTCCAAAAATGTTTTGTTCCTCTCCTGTTCCACACACTGCAGGGACCAGAGCATCCAAACCCCGGGAAGAGCTTCACCGCCCGCGGCTTCCCCCGGCACTGCTACCTGCCAGACAGTGAGAAGGGCAGAAAGGTGAGGGGCTCACCCGGGTGGCTCGAGCTGGCCAAGGCATGCTTAAGGGCGTATCGAGGGGGAGAGGGAGTGAGCAGCTGTTTGGAGCACGAGGAAAAGCAGTAGGGCTCATGCAGGCGGATCTGGGTGCAGGTTTTCCCTGTAGCCCATCTGGCATGCTCTGCAGGAGCCCAGTGACGTTCCCATGCGCTGGGGGATCTCTGCAGCCTGGTCCCGCTGTTTTGGTTGGGGTAGGACCCCATGCTGGAATCCCAAGCTCCCAGAGAGGGCTGACTGTGCCACATTGCCGGGGTGTACCAGGATGATCAGGCGTGCCCTGAGCAGAAGAGAGTGCTTCCCCCTGGGCCTTTGCCTCGCTGCCTGCCCCATCTCTCCCTTCCACAGGTACTGAAGTTGCTGCTGGTAGCCTGGGACCGTCGCTTGATCTTCGCCATCGGCACCTCCAGCACCACAGGCGAGTCGGACACAGTGATCTGGAACGAGATCCACCACAAGACAGAGTTCGGCTCCAACCTCACCGGCCATGGCTACCCTGACATCAACTACCTGGACAACGTCCTGGCCGAGCTTGCGGCCCAGGGCATCACGGAGGAGAGCCTGGTGCAGGAGAAGGACTGAGACCGTGGCAGAGAGGCAAGGGAAGGGGTGCCCATGCTGCCCCCCTGAGGATAAAGCTGCTGGAGAAACCCAGCGGGGCGCATTGCAGGGGGCACCGGGAGCCCCTTGCTCCCGGTGGCACCCGCCCAGTGGCAGCATCCCCAGGCTGGCCCGGGAATGCGGGAGAAGGTCCTTTTGGCCATCCCCTTCACTCCCGCGGGGAGGGACCATCCCCCCGCACAGCCGTGGGGCTTCACGGGCTTCACGCTGGCCTGGCTGTGCCCTCTGGCCGCTGTCCTACCCCCG